TAGTTACGCATCATTATTTTGAGATTAATATAACCCATGTTATTATGAGATTACTTAGTCTCATCATGACCTTTGAAAACTACAATCTTTTTTTCCTCTTAAGGTAACAGATTTTACAAGAATTAAGAGAAAATCTGTTGAGTGTAAGTTTTCCCTTATCTTGGCCGGAAATGCAATATATCACTCAAGTCTTGATAATTTAGAATCAAAATCAAAACACTCCAAAACCCCATACTCCTTGCTCTCAAAGTGATCAGATCATTAAGGAAAAAAAATGTATTTAATGAAATTAATGGATACATGTATTGTTTCGGCATCCTTCCAAATGCAAAGTGTTCAAAAAATTTTTCATTCTTTGATGATCAATGTAAAACTGTGATCTAGCTAATAAACTGAAGGAAAGAAACTAATGGAATTGACTATAAAATGACATAAATATATGCACATTACAAGGCTCAAATGCTTCCTATTTGCAGACTACAAATGCACTGATACTTTTCTGGTTTCTGCATTAGTCCTTACTTGGCTTTCCTGCTCCCTGGTGCGCACAGACTGAAGCAGGCCTTTAATCTCCATTTCATGTTCCACAGCTTGTTTGTTTCGGTCACTTAGAAGGTCCTGCAGCATCCTTTCCTTTTGCTGTAGACGCTGGCATAGCTCCTCTGCTATCTCCCTCTGCCCTGGTTCGAGTTTGCAGAGCAATGTTGCACTAAGATCCTAATACAGAAGAGACAGTGTAAATTTCTGGAGAAAAGAATAGCCTCTACTACATATCAAAGGGCTTATAAGAATCTACCATAGAAGAAAGAGATATGAGATTCTTGAGAATAAGTATCATATTTCGCTCATTTTCGTTTTTCTAGATCTAGCAGAGGCCTGGCACATAGGTAGCTATAAATACATGTTTAGAGAATGAATGCTAACAAGACAGAAAAGTACGTATAGTGGCAACTTACAATTGTTTTCCAAAATAAATTCTGTTCCTATTTGCTCAGGGCACACAATAATTAATGTTAGGTGAGGATAATTGGACACTCAGTTCATTTATTTATTTTCTCCCCAGTGTACCTTTATAGAGGGAGCACAAAATGATAAGCTGAAAAGGAATAATGAACACTGTATTTATTAGCATGGTGACAGTTTCTATTTCCATACTGAGAGATAGTACATGGTTATTGAAACTGTGGAGCCATAATGCCTAGGTTGAATACTGGATCTGCTACTTATTAGCTGTGTTACCTTGGATGACCTACTTAACTTCAGAAGTCTGTTTCCTTGTCAGTAAAACACGGATCATATAGTATGTCCCTCACAGATTTGTAAGGATTAATGAGTTAATATCCACTAAGCTCTTAAAACAGTACCTGACCTAGCATGAACCCTGTGACTAATAAAGGTTAGCTATCACATCATGGATGTATTTTTTAGATCTCATTAATCCTCATACGACTTCTTTGAGAAAGATAATTGCTACCTCAAGTTTACAGGTGTGACAAAAAGTCCCAGGGAAGGTCAATGACTTGCCCAGGCACAGAATGGAATTAAAGATGGGTCACTGGCCTCCCAGACCTCAAGAGGACTAATCCAAGGCTGAGATTACATAACCACTAAACCAACTGTCTTTTACTGAAGTCTTGCCTCCACTTCTTTGTTCCTGTCATGCAGAGATGTCTGTAACTGCTGAATGATACTCTCTTGTTCCTTCTGCCAATGGCTAAATTTGGTTTCCATTTCTTCTTTCAGCCACTGGAGGTTTTGACAGGTAGTAGTTAACTGTTCCACTTGCAGGCCTTTGGCCCTCAGGAGACTCTCCATACTCTACAGTCACAAAGAGAGGAACCATAAGTCAAAGAGTCATCCCGTACTGCTCAGGCTAAACAAGAAATTAGATCCACCTTTAAATTCTCTCTTAAATTATTTTCTATCTATCAACTTTTTTTGTAAGAGAAAGCTTAGTACCTAATCTAACAATACTAATATTAATCTATTTTTGGTTTTTAGGAACTCTTACCTAGTTTGTGGGGAGATAAATATAGAGTACATGATAAAATGAAGTACTCTGGAGGAAGTATGCTATGCTATAGAGAAAGTGAAGGACTTCTTTAAAAAGTGGCAGA